CACAGTGGCGTGATGGGATCAAAATCAGGGCGGGGGTGGCTTCCAGTCACCGAGACCCTCACTACTTGATGGGCACCTCTTGAGAACCAGACCGGTTCGTCATCTGAGGCAGATTGTGATGATTCAACAGCTAGATTCGAACATGTCAAGCCATGCAGTTTCGTCGCGTGTGCGGCCTTCCTTTTTGATGACCTGAACGCTGAACCGTATACCCATAAGCCATGTCTGATTCTGGTTCCACCTGGCCGTTCGCCGGCTTGGCGGCCACGACCATGTTCCTGAGCCAGACAATCGCTTCTCGCTAGCTGAACCAAGGTATCAATGCCCCATCTAGCGCCAGGGAAGGTCAGCTGATGGGGTCAAAATGGGAGGAGCCATGCCAATGTGAAAGTCTGACGGCCCCAAGCTGAGAACAGAAACCCTTTCATGATGGTTCTTGGAGGAAACTCAGATTCCAAGTAACACAACAGCAGGCGCCTTGGTTGCAGTTACCCCTCAAGGCAAAGGTGGTGTGTCAAGTAGGCCATCGGGCAACATGCGATTCCGGCCCCTGAATCTTACTTAACCACTTAGCACAATGTCCCCAAACATTCTTCCCCCTGTGGGGCCGTTGGAAAGAAGCACTGCCCTCTGATGAGCCGCGAGCTTCTGATGAGCCGAGACGAACTGGGGCCCAAGGCTCGCGGAGCCACTCCATGATCTCCTGAGTCAAGCCCCGGCTATCGATTGGGCGGGTGGTCTCGAAAGCAGTTGGACTTATTTTGGGGATGGCACAACAAAGTGAAACTAAAAAAATGCAGTGGCCATGTGGGGAGAGAGAGAGAGAGAGAGAGAGAGAGAGAGAGAGAGAGAGAGAGAGAGAGGCCCATCGACCTCGGGTGAACACTCCCAGCCCTGGAAAATCTCGTGGACAGTTCCAGAATATCGCAAACCCGTCAGGCCACAGGTCAGGCCATCCCGAACCTCTCCTTGGCTGCGGAGAGGATTGGGGTGATGAGCATGCCGAGCACAACCTGAACGAGGCCGGGAGTCGAATGATGGTTGGGATGGTCCATCTTGCAACCAGCGGTAACGCAGTTGGTCGATGACCGCGGCACAATATCCAGGTCACACGAGCCCGCTGCCCAAAGGCAAAGTGTGCGGAACTGATCTGCTTCTCTGGCACGTGCGAATCGCGGACCCCCACCTCCAGCCAGGCACTCCTCGCGATGGGAAAAGCTCAGCCTTTCCCCAAGCTTTGGACCTGGTCGCCTTTGGCTTCGAGGGAAAGCCGGGCGTTCACGGGGTTGGATCGGCACGGGACATCGGCGTCAGGGACCCCTGGAGATGGATCTCAACAGCCTCAAAGCAAAGCGCTCCCCTATGTCCAAAGGGAAACCGACAGAACACCTTCTCTCGGAACTGGCCCGGCCTCAGCTTGTCCACCCACCTGAGCGAGGGCCAAGGACTGCCAAGTTTGCTGTCAATCGGGGGCCTTCGCATCACAGAGCAACGGAGCAGTGGACCCAAATCGTGTCTTGACTGCCTTTACGAGCATGAGGATTCAAGATGCCTTGTGAAAACAAGTCCACGCAGTGTGCAATGGCGTAAGCAAGTCGCCATACTTTACTCAATGGCTACCTGGCTCACCTGCGCATCCCCATCGCAGCCACATTGTGTGGCCCACAACTGAGGAATCATCGTGAAGAATCTTCGGACAGATCTCCAGACCCGGGCAAAAGCCGGAAAGAAAGACTCTGCGATTTTGACAATAAGTCCACAACCCTGACAAAATTGGCACGAGGAATCCTCCTACTAGGAACTTTCTTAAGCCAAATCCGAGCTGCTCAGACATCACCGACTGCGGCGGCTCAGTCGGAGCGGCCTGCCAAAAGCCGCAAAATGTGTTTTTTGCCGTACGGCGGCCTCTCTGACCCCACCCACGGATAGGACTTCTTCCCCTAGAGGACAGGGGGGTTGTTTCCAAAAATGCCAACGGACAGTAGACTGCATGCCGACATGTTTGTCCTTGCGCACTTGTGTCGGTCTGTTTCCCTGCATGTCCTGCGTTTGTTCAACCCAAGTCGCAGCAACGAGAAACACTCAGGTCTGACGACTATGAAACCATCTCTCCGAGTCATTCCCCCCGAGCATTTTTTACAGGCACCCGACATTTAAAGTTCCGAAAACTGAGTCCTAATTTCAAGGCGCCAGCAATTAATTCATTGAATCCGACTCAAAGCTCTGAAAAACAAATATACGAAAAATAACTTGCACTTGACCCAGAGTGCGAAACCCAGCGACCATCGGCCTGCGCACTTGCCTGTGCCTGCGCGTGCGCCTCCGCTGCTTGCGCCTTCCGCCTGCGTTCGGTTCAGGCTCGGCAGAAGAATGCCCCACGAAACGCCCAACTTCAGGCCAGCCTTGTTCGGAGGATTATGGGGGTGTCTTTTCAAAAGAAGGTGGGTTTCCCTGTTTTCCTGTTGTGAAAAAAAGAGGTACCCTCAAAAAAGATACACCCAATATAGCCCTTGGGCAATCTCGAGGAGCCTCCATTTGATCCGAATGGTTGAGGCTGCATCCCGTCCCGGTTGCCAGTTTGACAGAGCTTCCGCGTGAGTCTCACAGAGGATACCTTCACTCCTTGCATGGGCCAAAAAGCGTGCAAGTACATGCTCAACAACTCCTAGGCCAAGGAAAGGGACGTGGAATGGGAGCTTGGCATTTTGGACATCTGCCAAGAGCGGTGCATTTGCTTGGGCCATCGCAAGGCAAGGGCAATTGCCTCGTAGTTCAACAGCCCACCGACCCAAGAAAGGACGTGATGGAAGCGTGATTTCTCCAAAATGAATTGGGATCTGAACGTGCAAAAGCTGTCATTTCACGGGCGTCCGAACCAAAAGCCCTGATCAAGGCAAGAACTGCTTGAAGCTCTGCCTAAAAGAAGCCCAGGGCTCAAAAAAAAAGAAAAGAAGCTGCCATGAGCGATTCTTGATCCTAGCCCTTGGACCCTCGCATGGAGTCATGGGCTTTGCTCCAGCAGAGCCCTTTGACGCAGTGCGCCTATGCTGCGCCTTTGAGCACCCGCTTGTGTCTGAGGACTCGCCAGGACGGGTCCTCAGCGGAAAGGCCCTCCAATGTCAGAAGGCGGGCCGGTCATACCACGCCCAGTCGTCCCCGATCTGCCGAACGCTTGGTGTTGCGAGGTTCTGCCCTTGAAAGCACGGGAGCTCGATGATCCGCGACAAAGCTGAAGGCAAACAGCGCGCAGCCAACCATCAAGCATCAGAGTTGGCCTTCGATCAGTCAAGCTGTTTGCTCAAAGAGTCAGAGGCCTATGAAACTACTATTGACTATGCCTTCCAAAGCAACAATTCGCAGTTCAAGTGTTGACATGGAACATGGGTTTGAGATGCTCTTGAACCGAGACCCACAGCGCTCCCTGGCCACAGCGCTCGCTGAGCCTAGGCCGCCGGCCCCGTGCAGGCATCCTCCTCGTTGGAGACCCCGTCCCCATCGTCATCCTGGTCCTAAAAAGGGCTTCCGGATAGGTTCCTTCAGACGGTTGTTATAAGCCTCGAGCTTCCTGAAACAACATCATGCCGTAAGAAATGTTGGAAAATACATAGCAACTTGGGTTCAAATTGAACCGAGGTATTCTGTTTGGGTCCACGATCTATATCAGACGGGCAAGGCGCTTGTTTTCCGCAAGTCTTATGTACATGTCTGTTCCCGATCTGTGCTCGGGTTCCTCTCACCTCTGTGCTGAACGAGCACGGATTTCGTCCCAAGAGGTTCCTCGCTGCGATGATTTGGTGTCAGATGCATCGCCGTCCCACGCGCTGGTGCCGCCGGTGCCCCAAGGATCATCCTTGGGGCCGGGCTGTGCAGCTTCCGGGAAGAAGGCGTTGCCAGCCTCCGGCTTCGGAACGGGAAGGCTTCCGGCGGCTCCCTCGGGCGCCGGCGCAGCCCGGCGGAAGGTGTCCGAGGGCAGCTTGCTGTTGGCCCGCACTGCGGCCAGGAGCCCCCGGGCGGTGTCACCCAGCGGCGATGGGAGTGACAAGAAGGAGTCCCAAAGTGCCCCCATTTGAGACACCTGCGCGATGCGGTGAGTCGCATAGAAGGTGAGAAACGGTGGAATTATGTCAACCGGAAAGGTCAGGCCGGGTCGAATTCGCTTGAAAAGAAAGTAGCAGCCAAAGCTCAGCCCGGTCGCCAATGTGACGGATGTATTCTGCACGCGCCACAACGGGATTCGATCCACTTCGTGTAACTGGTAGCGAGTGTGGGACATCCACAGCTGCATCTCATAGTGAAGCTTCTGCAATTCCTGCATGTTGGGCCGTTGGATCCTTGACCAGGTATCCGGACTCGAATACATATGCATCGGCTCCGCCATTTTGAACTAAAGCAAGGCTAAGAGTATTTGCTTGAACCTTGAAGCATGGCTACGGAAGGACAAACAGGAATTTTCTGAAGGCCCAGCAAGTGGAATTGCTTCTGGAAAGGAAGCACAAGAAAGCCGTCCCGCTTGTTGCCAGCAATCTGACAATCAGCCTGTCATTCAGACGTGCCGAATCACGGGTTTTGCACCAGGTTGACCTCTGCTCACAAGCGCCGCAGAGCAGCAATGCCTGCCTCGACACCGTCTTTGCAGCCGTCGCCGTCAAAGTCGCTGAGAGAGTTGGACCTTAGACCCCCCCATGCCAATGCGCAACTCCCATATGCGTATGTGCAGAAGAAAAAAAAGGAACCCTCCAAAGAAGACATGCCAATATGCAGATCACGATGATTGAATGATGATATGTCGTGGCGTTGCTGCGCCTCTCGCCCTGTCAGTCCGGGAGACTCGTCTCATCCCTCCAGCAAGAGCGTTGCTAGTGTGTTTGCTGAAGAAACTATGGATACATTGAGATCATTCCCCGAACAGTTAGCCAATCCAGACAGACAAAATCTCTGCAGAACATCTGCTAGATGCCCGGATGGAGCATGTGCTTTGTTTGATTTGTGGAGTCGGCAATGGTAAATTTTGCTGAACTCGAGGCTCCAGTCACAAATGCCACGTGCAAGACATAGCCACGCCCAAAATCATGGCATGCCTTTTAAACGAGAAATGCCATGCTCGGAGTGGAGCCATACTTCGTGCACGCACTAGGCAAATATGAAGCAAAAGTGGAGGGGAAATCCTGGGGTTGAGCAACTCCTGGTTGAGTTGTTCGAACTACTGTCGTCCAAACAAGCGCTTCCTGACAGCAACGACCATGTTAACTCTTGCAAGTGGCCCTGCTTGCTAGGCTGGTGCAAATGAGATCCGAGCACAAAGTTGTACTGCTGAGGCGAAAATGGACACCTGGCTCAACGCAACTCCCGCTGTTTCCGCGAGTGAGGCAGGCCATGCTCCAAGTCATGAGTCTCTAAAGATCAGATTAGCCATCAATCCGGCCACCCAACTGGCTGTACTTCTCCACACCGCCGGCTTCCAATTTGACAAAGGGCTTCTCCTATCATCCTGACGCATCTTTGACTTTTGTGCCGCTCAGATTGCCTCCCTATAGAACTGGGTGTGTCATCTTTTAAGGGACCGCCCAAAATGGCTTCGCTTATCCTTTGGGTTTCCCTTTAGAACCAACCACAAACGGGTACCCAAAAAACAGACAGACCCGAACTGGATCCTGGGTCCGTGCGGTGAGTTCGCTTCGCTGGCCTATCCACTTTGTCCTCGATGCCGTCGTTGTCTCTGTCCTGGTCCTCCACACCGTCCTGGCCAAGTGGCCGGCCGGCCGGCAGCCCGCTGGAAGTCCATTTAATGAGCGGTCGCAAGGGAAAAGGAGTGGTCCTTGATGGGGAAAATGAAAGGAAGCCAAGAGAAACTGGGAAGAAACCGCCGCTTCAACAACCAAACAACAACATCTATGGAAGAAACCACACTTCTGGTCATCTGTTGAAGGCTGCCGCCCGTTCGGCTGCGGCCGTCCCATCCCCGCCTGGCACCCGTCCCCGTCGAAGTCGGAGGCACGCCCGGAGATCCAGACTGGGAGTCACAGAATCGGTCTCCGTGTTTGAGGCATCCGATTCTCTTTCCGATGGAAGCTGATAGGAGGGCTTCGGAAGACTGTGATCCTCTTGAAAAGCCGTCTCCATTCATTCTAATCTGTTGGAAGCCCCTGGAAATGTATGCAAAAATCCATGGCTTGCCATCACTTCTGGCTCCGTGGCACTGGCGCTTACTGAGGTGGCACTCGCACGCAGAATACCTTGTATGTACGCTTCAATGCGACATGGGTGAGTCTAGAGACTGGTTCAAGGTGCAGCCAAGCAAGCAGTGCGAGAAAGAGAGAGAGAGAGAGAGAGAGAGAGAGAGAGAGAGAGAGAAAGAGAGGGGGAGAGAGTAACAATCGCGGGGGGGATCTCAGTCACTCATATCTCAGAAGTGAAGATACGGAGCAGCAGCAATCTCATGCTTGCAAAATCTCCCGACCACCCCCCCACCACCTCCTGTGTTATGTGTTTCTTTCACTCAACACCAGCTGGGTCATTGCTTTTTGAACCCTGAAGTTGCCAAACGGAACACCAGAGCCCTGTTGAGGACCGACAGCACAAACGCCATGGCCGCCTCGGGACCCGCCTGACCGCCCCTGTGGCCGCTGTCCCGGGCACCAGTCGTCCTGGTCCGGCACGCCGTCGCCTCCGCACCGGACCCCCCGTGTCCCCAAAGCGACCTTCAGCAGTGCAACGGAACACATAGGCGCCTCTGTGTGGAGTTACCTTGTTGGGCGTTCACAAGGGAAATGAAAGGAAGGCCGCCCATTTTCGGGGGTTCCGCTATTTGAGACACCCAAATGCCCAAGTCCTCAATGAGCTGAGACCTCTAGTTCGAGTCCAAGGATTGGATAGGGCTGTCCTTTCTTCATGTGAGACAAGGCAGCCAACCCAGTCATACCGAAATCCGCTGGCAAGAGGTCATCCCGCAATGCCTGCGCAATCACTGACCAACTACATCAATAACTAGATGATCGAGCATGGGCACGTCGAAAGTAGCAGGTGGAACAGAAAGCTGGAAAAGTATGTAGATTTGAAAAAGGAAACCATATGACTCGCACATGGTCGCATCAGCACCTGGGAAATCGAATTCTATATGCTTTGCCACTTTGAGAATTGGCATTGTTTGTTTCTTGCCCATTTCGCCAAGAGATCCCAAGCACAGCCCCAGGCCATCAGTATCCAGCGTCCCCGCCGGCGGCGTCCGCCTGAAGTCCGGTGGTTTTGTTGAGACTACGGCACCCTTTGTTGCTCATGGATTCCTACTGTCCCCATACTTGCAACCAATGAGTCAGCAGTTGGACTGGTTGAAGCAGCGGCTTTGCATGGGCGGCCGCTGTCAAACCATCCAGGGCGCGTGTCTTTTGGCCGCACATCCTTTCCAACTTGGTTATGTATCCGAACCAGCTGAAAACCGAAAAAAATACTGAACAACTTCTCTGCAAATACCATCCAAATCCAAGTGGGCGCCCCGTTTCGGACACGCGGGCGTAGCCCTCTTGGGTAATCCCATGGCTCAAGGCCTCGTCTGCCCAGGCGTGAGAGCGGCACCTGCCAATGGGAAAAGTGCGCATCTCTTTTTCAGCGTGTCTTTTTGGCCTCTCTCCCATTGTGAGCGTATAATGTATATATGTAAGAATGGGAAAGCCAGCAAGTGCGCTATCTCAGTGGGTGTCGAGAGTTCGCCATCGGACTGGTTCATGTCAATAGTGGTGGTCGGCGATCACCCTCTCTGTGTCAGTCCCACACATTGAAAACACCTAAAAGGCTTCGGTTGTGGTTGTCTACTTGCGTGCGCGCTTGCGCGCATGCTTCCAGTCACCGCCAAGCCCTTTTTCCCAAAACCTACCAAGCAGAACAGGGCTATGACACACCGTGACCCATGCTGGTCTGCCTCGGTAGGTGGCGAACCAATCTTTGTAGAGCGCCGCGTTCGCGAGCAAAGAGGCCAGCAAGAGGGCCAGCAGCAGGCCTGCTGCCTAATCACACACAAGCTGCATATGTTGCTCATCCAAGCACGTGCATTTGTGTACTCACATATACACATACACACATGTGGTACCCCCGAATGGTCATGGGTCAAACAAGTACCCCCCCCCCCCCCCCTGTGGTTGTGGTCCTGTGGTTGGGTTGTGGTGGTTTAGGGTTGGTTTAGGGTTGGTTTAGAATTGGTTTAGGGAGTATGTAGGGTGTATTTATGGTTAGTTTAGGGTTAGTTTAGGGTTAGTTTAGGGTTGGTTTATGTTGATTTAGGATTGGTCTAGGGTTCGTTTAGGGTTTGTTGTTTAGGGTTTGGTTTAGGGTGTATTTAGGGTTAGTTTAGGGTTGGTTTAGGGTTGGTTTAGGTTTAGGGTTTGGCTTAGGGTTTGGTTAGGGTGTATTTAGGGTTGGTTTAGGGTTAGTTTAGGGTTTGGTTGCGGGTTGGCTTGTCCTGGGTGGGTGCCGAGGTGTCGGGGTGCGAGTTCAGGGGGTCGGGGTGGGGGTGGGACTGTAGGTGCCAGGATGCGGGGGCTCGGGGTCGGGTCTCGGGCCGGGGGTGGAGGTCCTGTGGGGGACCCATACCATTTGGGGGGGGGGGGGGGTAGCAACACGGAACACGGTACCATATATACGTATATATGTATGAGCATGATGTGTGTGCGCGTGTGCAACGAGGTTGTTTGTTGAGAGTCCCCTTTGAATTGCCAGCTTGCGGCTGCTCAGTCGCTGGGAGGCCGCACGAAGAATGTGGCGGCACCTGGCCACTTGTTGTTGGGCACCGGGATGGAAATGACCGGCGGCTCCTGGCTATCCGATGAAAACCTGCGGTGCCTTGCACGCAAGCGAAAGGGGACTCCCCAAGTTACGTAAAATCTCGGATAGACCTGCAGCTTGCAGACAGATACGGGGGCTCCCCCAGAAAGTAAAGCATGACACCGCTGCAGTGGGACAATCTCTCTAGGTCAAAGGCTGTAGCCCGCCTGCGGCAACCCCAGGGGCCTCGACCTCGTGGCTCCAAACAAAATGGGTAGGCAGCGATCAACTACCGGCCTCGTTATTTTATGATCAAAGTCACCCCCTGAGTGTTTTCAAGGGAAGCAACCCCCGAAACAGTCAAAACAATGACCCTAGAAATAGGCGTGTGACTGTTAGCATTTGCCCCCAAGACGTCCAGGTGTGACAGGACAAACGAGGCTCCTGGCAACTTGGAACCGGGCACCCAGGGATGGCATGGTTGGAATGGAGGGTGGTCCAGGCACTAACTAGGGCGCATCAAAGCTTTCTTCACTCAGAACCCGTTCTCTGTCTTGGTGATGGCCAATGGGATGCTATTCCCCCAAGCCCGGAGGCCTTGTAGATATTCTGGAATATGATTTAGTGTAGGAGGCTTCTTCAGCACAGGCTCTACACTTCCGTAGTGTGCAAGTTCTGGCTCCTAATGGGGCCACAGTTCTGATAAATTGCCTCAGCCCAACCACTACAGAACCAAGTGTTCTGTGTCCACGGTGACAAGGACTTCCTTGAATCATGACCATTCATCACACCAAATGGTGTCAATCCTCCCTCCTGCATGGCTCAGGGGTTTCAACATGTTGTTGAGACGGACAAAAATAAGGGCAGAAGCTATTTGCAGCCCCAAATGGCTGAGGCATCCGCGGTTGTGTGGGGGGAAGCCGAACAGGAAGGCCTGCCAGGGATGTGCTAGTACAAAACGCCTGACAGCTCTCGCTTGCCCCTAGCCACCTCAAGCATGCTGCGTTGCTGTGTCTGTTGCCTTACCTTCTCCTGCGATCCTCAAAGGAAATTACCGCCTTGGTCTTGCAGCGAGCTTGCATCTCCGAAGGACTCAGCTGATACGCAACGAGCTCGAGAGAGATGAACACTGTGCTAGGTTCACTTCGAGCTTTGCTGCAAAAATGTAATGACTTCCTTTCGGTGTATGTCCCTTCCACTGGGCTTCACACCCCGTTTGCTAGCCATTCTGCCAGTGGCGAATCCGCAATCCGGGCTTCAACACCAACATCTATTGGGCTTTGCTGCTGGAGGCACCAACTCTTGTCACAATCGAGGCTCCTTGAAAGAAGCATCAGTCCTTTATTTGGGTACGTAAAGGAATGATAAAACCAACATGCGGCCATTGTGCCATCTAGTTTCATCCAAAGGGTGGACCCCTTTGGCTTTAAGGGAAACCACCAATCTCGGGGGTCAAAACTGCTTGTGCCTCCCGTGACACCTGGGACCGCCCCCCCCCGCCTTGCGGCCGCGAGACCTCGCAGGGCGACGGCGCAAAGCCTGCGGTGGCGATGTGCAGGGCGGGTTCTTTTTTTGGAGGCTCGGAACCCTTGGGCCCTTGGGGTGGTTGACACGGGAAACCACGGGAACGCTGCCATTAATTTTGTTTTTTGGGGGGGCACCCTATTTTGATACAAGCCCCATGTCTCAAAATGCGGAACAAGAGACCCCGCAAACGGTTTGGCGGCCCTTTGAAACCACCTCAAGGTGGCTAGCACCCACAAAAACGGAGCATCGCCACATGACCCATTGCTCCTCCGTCGGCCTCGCCTGGTCTTGGGCTCAGCTGGAGCAAGGCACCGCAGTTCCTGGAAGTTCCGGGCAAGCGGAGAGCAAACTTGGCGCGCGAAGCGGGGCTCACGGAAGCCGAAGTCCAATTGCAAGCTTTGCAATCGCATCTGGGCAGTGAACGAATGATTATCTCTCCCTCCTGAAGTGTGGCTGTGAATTCAACATCGAATACACCGCCACTGCACTTGCTTCTCCACCAACAGTGTGGAGACTCCCCACAAAAGACAAGGCCGCACAGAAAGGGAAGCTGAGCTGCAGGCAGCCCAACCCCCACAAGCCCCCCGCGGGGCCCCCGCCAACAGGTGCGGCTCGCACACTGCACCGGGAACAGCACAGTGGTGCCACACCTGCGAGGAAGCGCAGGGGCCCACCGGAAGAAGCGCAGTCTGATTGGCCGGTTGGCAGTTTGGTGGCAGTTTGGTGATGCACATGGTGGGCCGAACAACACAGTGCTCAAGCCCCAAAGTACCAACCCAATATCCAGGTCTTTTATGAAGGATGGCAGCTTTCAGCGGGCTAGCCGTTGCCAAATCGATGCTTCCAAGGTTGTTCATGACACCGTGTGACATCGGTGATTCAGGGCGTGTTGGCTTGATGCCGGAAGACCTCAGCCGCTTGCTTCAAAGTTGGGAGGGGCGACCTTAAGGGAACTGTGGATGGACAAAATCAACTTCGCACCACTTTGGTGCAAAATGGATTTTGTCCGTCCACAGTTCAAAGCCACCAAAAAAGCGGTGGGGTGGGCTGGGGCGGGGTGGGCTGGGGTGGGGGGCTCGTTTCACCCGGCACCTTCCCGCCACGAAAAAGCTACGGATTGGGCTTCCGCGCCGGCAGATCTGCTTGGCCACCGGCGAGGGCGGCGCGCTGCTCCCAGTCTGCGGTGAGAGGATTGGCCGTGACCCCAAGGGTTCCGCTTGGCGGCTTGAATGTTGACCAAGGTGGGTCGTAAGACACTTTGCCTAAGATCTGTGTTAATGCCCCCACTTTGACATGACCAAACCAAGCCGAGCAGAAGAGGAGCGCAAAAAACAAGGTCCAGCCCTCGAGGACAAAAGTGGGATGCTGGCTCCGACCCACCGAAACGGGTTCACTGACAGCGGGCCGAATGGAAGAGCTGGGAGCTTGAGCATGTCATCCATGCTCACGGAGTTGCACACTTCAATTCAATTGACTGATGTACCTCATGGCATTTACCCTCCATGCAAGTAGCCTCGGAAAGTGCGACAGGACCAAACTGAGGGAAGTGATGGCACAGGGACCAAGTGGGCGGGAATGCATTTCATGAAGCCTCAAACTCCTGCAGCAGGTCTTCCGCATGCCAGGCATGTTCAGCTCACTTATCCGAAAGGAAGATGGACCAAGCCGTCAATGCCAAAAGGCGAGCAGGTCATCTTTGGAAGTGGAGCAAAGCCAGCAGGGCCGCCATACTTGGAGACTGCCCCAGCCGGATCGCTCCCCGCCTTACTGGTTGTTCTGGACACCGGTTCTGGCGCGCCAAAGCAAGTGCGTCGAGCAGCGAATCGCATTTGTGGTTTTGAGAGATCACCTGTTCATGCACAGGTGCTTGTTGGGTCCCCACAACGCTGAGAGAGCACCTTGACAAGACCGCACAGCCGCAGTTGACTCGCCATCTGGGAAGGCCTCAGGGAATGTATTGGGCTGCAAGGTAAAAAGCTAACGGCCCCCACGAAGCACATCGCATAAATGCAAGCTGACAGGAAATAGGTGTGTCATGTGCGTCCTTTTTAAGGGGTACTGTCCCTTTTTGTGGGTTTTAAAGGTAAACAGCACAACCATTCATTTTGGGGGACAAATAACAGGCTTTTAGAAGGAAGGTACCGTGAGCTACAGTGTATCACTGTCATGAGTGCAAGGTAATTGTTCAAAGCCCTTCCTGTATGTGAAGGCATGTGTTGGGATTGCTTCCGACTCCCTCCCACAATAAAAACTAACCATGCCACATTTCGCATTGAGCCTACCGATTCCACCCAAGGGAGCGCTTTTCTCTCCCTACCTCCACCTTTGAACGAGCCCTTTCGCGCCTTCCGGCTCCAGCAGAGGCCTTGCTTACCGGGCTGCTTGCCATGGGAAACTTTGCAAACCTGAAATACGGTGAGCTATACATGTGTTGAGATGAATGACTTCCGGAAACCAACAGAATCAACAATTGAAGAATCTGACAAGCCCATCCCCTTAGAGTGCGAAGGGAAAACAAGCAGCCGGTTCAATCATATGGTCAAGGTTCCTCATGTGGGCCATACTCATGCTTATGACCCAATGCCGGATCAATTGACCTGTTGAGTGAACTCCCCATGTTGAACTGCTTAAGCCAATCATTGATCATAATCCCCACCGCAATGGTTTACAACATGACTAAAATCCGCGAAGGATGTAAGTCCATATGTCTGAGCCCATTGACCATAGCCTACTGCACATGTTCTAAGCCTTGAGGGGGGATTTGCCACTGGCCGTGCCTCGGCCGCGGCTTCTCCATCCGCCTTGCCACGAATCCCGCATGGGCAGTTGCCTTGTCTCATGCCGGGTAACCTCAGGGAAGCAACTGAAAACCGATACACAGGGACGGCGAAATCTGCTCAGTTGCCCGGGTGCTGATTTGTTCCTTGACAGGCCCACTGCACTCTGATTTGGCAGCAGGCGGCCGGATACGTGATCAACATCTGTGCAAGCAGTGTCAGGACAAGTGGCCGATTCGAGTGCAAGTATCAAGTGGTGGCTGCTGACATGCTGCTGACAAGAGGTTTGAAAAGCTTGCAATCAGCTGGTCTGTTGCAACTTCAGCCAGGGCCATCAGATTCACATGATTAGACGCTTGTTTTCAGTATAGAGAGGTTACCGCGAGGCAAAGGCGGGCAATATGTCGGTCAGAACAGATACATCTTCTGGAGCGGGCAGTAGGGGACTTCAAGCTGTGCATCCTGCCTTCGCTATCGCCGCATGGCAACCGAGAGCCCGTGTAGGGCGACGTGTGTATTTCCACAACAGTTCTGCAGTAGGCTGTGGTGCGCTTCGCTTCAGGATTGTTCGAGCTCAAAGTTCTTCAAAAGAACCGTCATCAGCCTTCTATTTATATCTTTGTCTACCAAATAGGCTGTGCACGGCCTCATGTCTGGCATGCTGCAAAGATGTTTTCCAAATGCAGAAGCCTGAATCCCCGGTCCATTGCCGGCTTAGCGCCTCATGGCCAGGTTAACACCAAACAGCTACGGTGCTCAGCGGGGCCAGCGCCAGGAGCCGGAGATTGCAATGTCCCAAACCGCACAAAGCGCACATCTGCTACAGCCCTTTCCTTCGACCTCTCGGCATCTGTGTGTTTGTGATGGGGCTGTGGATTGAAGGGAAGAGCTGATTTTGAGAGCTGCTGGGTTTGTGTCCTTCTATCACGCTGCGGATCCAGATACGACATCGATGGGCGGAGACAGATCGACAAGAAGGGTGGCCATGTTCCCTCCTGAGTGCATTACTGAAGCTGACTGTTCTGGGATGTGTCGCAGACCAAATTTGCTTGATGCTAGTTGCTTCACCTTTTTGGCCTTACTAACTATGCCCGGACTCGCAACGGCTGAAAATGCTTCCAAACATTTGAGGCGCAGTGCCCAACACCCCCTCTTTGGCACCTTGACAGGCTCCTGCACTACCTTCTCCACCCTTTCTGGTGCCCCTTTGTTGGTCAGGATCCTTCACTTGTGGTAGTTGCACCCCCCATTGTCCAGTGACACTCGTGGCGCCCTTTCTGGGGAAGCAACAACAAACAAAAAGGCCAAAAGGGTTTCCCCCCTATGTTCCAGTTCCATCCTCACACACCTGGATATGGATACGCTTTGGGACCTCAGTGCCCCGCCAAACAAAACACATGATGTACGTGGGGAAGTTGCACATTCATGATGACCCTCTTCTGGCCCAAAACATGATTTTTGCAGAAGGCTTGGCAAACATTCCTAACATTCCCACGAAGCCTCATTTCTGTGATCGTTGGATCACTGAAGCTCGTAAAACATTCCTTTTGTCGCTGCACCTGGTCGAGCGCCATCCTCTCAGAGGAACAGTAACAACAGGCACACAGGCATGATGATGCAACCTGGCGGCACATCTCTCCCACACCAACCAGCTTCGATATCAGCATGCGTCATGCACCATTGACATCTCTCTGCACAGCTCGCTCGGGCAACAAGCGCACGGCCTAACAGCAGCTGGCCAAGTGCCAGGAATCGCTTGCAGTGGCAGTAGGGGAACGCCTGGAAGCCAACAGCGGCCGGCAAGCCCACCATGAGTCACAAGCTACGAGAACTGGGTCACATCCAATGTTGAGTGCATGCTGGCTTTCTGTGGAAGCCACGTGACGCGTTGCCCAGCCTGGAAGTACACAAGACCCGGCAAAATGTACCTGCATTTCACCAAACA